CGATGTACAAAATGTATATATATAGGGAACGTTTACATATAATATTATGAGCTTCAGAGCTTAAAGTTAAAAAAAATCGGATCCTAAATCAGATAAAAAATCGGAGAATAAATCTGACAATATTTAGGATGAAGAAATTGGAACAGGATTTAGGATATGAATAAAGTTTATGTTCCAATTTATGTTCTGATTCAACATATGATTAAATATTGTATTAAAACTTAAATGTGTGATAGCTAAACAAATTATTTGACTAATAATTAACTCTGGAATTAGAAGAACGTATCATCTCGAAAATGTCTGGAAACATAATATTCATACTTTTTATCAGAAAAAAATTAAAATTAAGTAGGATTAAAACTACACAGAGATTTTGCTAAATATGATACGAAAATACCTAATGGAAAATGTAGGTCTTATATTTAAAAAATTCGAAATTTAATTTAGTAACTGATCAATTTACTGACCTTGTTTAAAATTTTTGACGTATTGTTGTTGGCATTAGGAATAATTCGGATTGTGAAACTAGCGATTTCGGAAATTAGATGCATATGAATTTTCTCCAAATTTTAAATAGTTTTACTCTTAATTATTCTAAATTCGATTCCTCATACGAAATAATTATTAATTGGCCTAATCTGAATATGAACTAATTCTTATTTGGTCTAATCTTCATTTAATATAATCCTCATTTGACCTAATCTTAATGTAACCTAATTTGTCTTTGACATAATATTTATCTGTCTTAATTCTTAATTGGCCTAAATTTTTGTGGTTATTACAAATGAGTATTATATCACTAGTTAAACAAACCTGATTATTTTAAATGACAACAACTTAACCACCATAGATCGGACTAATTTAAATTTATTCCGAAATAGGTCTAAAATTTTAACCAGGGTGGCGAAAAAGTAGGTTTAATCTTACTTAATTTTAATTTTGTTTTCTAATAAAAGAGTAAGAATATCAGTTTTCCAGCCCTTTGCGAGATGGTCCGTTCTTCTGATTCCATGAGTTAATTATTAATCAAATAATCTGCTTAGCTATCACACATTTAAGTTTTAATACGATATTTAATCATATACTTAATCAGACCATAAATCGGACCATGATTCGGACGTGAATTCATATCCTAAAGGATCTTTTCTAAACATGAGACAATATATATAACTCTTATGTAAAATTGCATGAGATGGGTAAAGTTAAAAAAGTGCGTGACATCATATGTTAACTTATCGATTGGTCTCTTTTCGGTTTAGAAAATAACAACTGATATGAACATTTATCAGTTACAATAATAAAATTCTTTTAACAATCCTATATTAAACAAGCATAAAAAAACATCAAAACTTTTAATTTCAGTTAATTAGGTTATTTGTTTTCTATTTTTTACATTTCACAAAATCATGAAACTGTTGTTACACAAGTTTTCGTAACATTTTTTGTTCCAAAAATTTATTTACAAATCATAATGTTGAGTAGATATTAATTTTTTATACAATACGATCAAACTGGTAATTCAATTAAGGAATATAGCACATATTCTTACAGTAGGGGACACGTATGCAGGTTTTTTTTGAAAAATTTTTAAACTAAAAATATTTAACGAAAAGTTTTATATGTCGTTCCAAAAGTGTTGTCCAGGGCTACAACATTGCCTAAGAAAATAGTAATTTTTTTCAAAAATAAAAAATTTACGTTTGATTTTTTGAATATGGAATTTTTTTTGTTCAAAAAATAATTTGACTTGCAGGTTGAGACACCTAGTAATTGTAAAATGGTTGAAATAAAATAAATAACGACGTCATTTAAAAAAATTTATTTATTTATTTGTGTTGAAGGTATTGAAGATTCAAAAAGTTTAAAAATGTATTAATTTTTGTCAGAATCGGCATCTAAGTTACAATTGTGTCTTGAAAATTTCTAATATCCTCGGAGCTTATTAAAAAAATTTAGTTTATTTGTCTCACAGTTACTGCCAATTTATTGTAATGTTTAGTAGGTGATGATCGTTAAGGGCTGAATTTAATCCTTTTGGAGTTGATAGTAACTGGAATATATTCTACGAGATTTCTAGTATTTATGGAATTTATTAAAACTTTTTGTTTAGAATAACTATCAAGTTGTCGAAATAAAGTCAAGTGACTCTCCGCGTCTCAACCTGCATACATCACTGTTATATTTTGATGACATAAAATCTTTTATCGGTGTTAAGATAGATTTGAAATTCTATTGGAATGTTAAAATAGAACAAAAACTGCTATGTAAATATTCTTTTCACTTTTCTCTATCACTATAAAATATACACTTTATTCACTGCACGAAAATGATTTAAAACACTTTTTTCTTAAACATTTTTTATATGCTCTGGCTCGAACTTATATAAAACGAGTTACAGCTTATGTTTTATATAAATAGTTTGCTACTAACAAAATAAAAATTTGGTAATTGGTAATTTAACAATTTAGTATTATTAGTTATATGCTAAATAATATCTTACTGTCGTAACCTGCATACATCTGTCCTAGTATATATTCTACGAAATATTTATCACATTACAAAGTATCTTCGTTAATTTTAAGTTTTGAGAAAAACGCGTTTAAAGTTTTCGATACAAAAAAGTAGAGTTTTAACTATTTCTTTGAAAACGTTATGTATTCGAAAATAACTATTGCACTAAAACCAAGATTTACTATCACTTGCTAATAGTGCTTGCTTCTGACAATTAATAAAATTATATTGACAAGAAAGCGAAAAAATAAAGGGATCTTGTGCGCACCGTTAACTACATTTGATAGCATTTGAAGTGCTAGACTTATGTACATTGTATCATTTATACTTCGAATTATAGATTAACCTGTGGACTGCCGGAAAGCCTAAATTTAGTCTTTTTTGCTGGATTTTGCTAAACGCCGGCGGGCTAAAGGTTAATAACACAGGTTTACAAATTCGGGTCAACTTTTAAACCCAGAAAGTAAAGAGCGTTTTTTAACGTATTTTTTTATGCTGAATTCGAATCCATTATTAGATTTTCCGTACCACGTCAAAATTCAAAATGGCGGATCCAAAATGGAAGCAAAAAATGAAAAATCAATTTGATTTGCTTGAAACTTGTTACTCAGGAGTTTTAAGGGTCGCTGATTACGAATGTGGCATCAGATTTTTAAAATCCAATATGGCGGAAAAAATTTAAAAATTGATCGGATTTGCTTAAAACTTGTTTAAAAATCTGATGTCAAATTCGTAATCAGCGACCTCAAAAACCCTCCGAGTAACAAGTTTTAAGCAAGTCCAATTAATTTTTAATTTTGTCATCCGTTAAATTGGATATTTCATTTAAAATTTTAAAAATCTAATGCCAGATTCGTCATCAGCGACTTCAAAAACCCCTAAGTAACGTATTTCAAGCAAATCTGATCAATTTTTAAATTTTTGTCCGCCATATTAAATCCGTTATTTTGAAAATATAATGCTATATTCGTAATCAGCGACCCCAAAAACCCCCGAGTAACGATTTTTAAGTGAATTGAAGCGATTTTCAGAAAAGTCTTCTGCCATATTAAATCCGCTATTTTGAATTTTAAAAATCTGACTTCATATTTGTAATCTGCGACTTTAAAAACCTTGAACAAAGTTATGTCTTTTTTTTATAAATAATATAGTTTAGTTAACAATAACAATTTTGTTAAAAGCATCAAAAATTGCAATTATCTCAAAAACCTGACGTGTACTAAAAAAACGGACTGTGGATTCGAATTCAGCATTAAAATTTACTTCAGGAACAGGACTATGTTTCTCGGGTCCAAAACCATGTATTCCTGTGTAATGTAGGATCATATTCTACAGATACCCAGTGGGACAATTGCCAAGACTGAATATTGGCTAAATATTGGACCAGTTATTTTAGCCAATATTAGACCAAGCCTGGGAGTGTAGAGACCAATGCCAAGGATCTAATTTCAATATTGGCCCAATATTCAACCAATATTCAAAAATTCAAAAAATCAGACTTTAGCCAAGATTAAAAAAATTAATTATTAAAAATGAAATATAATAAAAATTTTTTATTATATTTATATATTATATTTTATTATACATAATAACATTATTATTTTCCTTCAGAACAAGGGTTATAATATATAAAATCATCCGCAATAAGCGGAGAAAAAGAAAAAAATATTTCCTAACCTCTTGCTAGGCATTAACAATTATCAGCTAAATAAAAGTGATATTCTGAAGATTCTGTACATATCGTGGATACTTATACCCTAACCGATTGATGTTGTTTATGAGAGAAAAAAACAGTGCCATCTGGCGGATAGTTGGAAAGTTAACGTAGCGCGAAATTTAAATTGCGTGAAGGAAAAACAGTAAGTATAAACATTTACTTGAAAATGTATTTACTTAAGAATGCATACTATCGCATTAAACAAAACTTAATTAATGTTATAATGGTCACAAATAATTTTTTTAATTTTAATTCTTTATACTTACAGTTTTCCCTTCATGCAGTTTGAATTTCGCGCTACGTTAACTTTCCAACTATACGCCAGATGGCAGTGTTTTTCTCTCCCATAAACAACATCAATCGGTTAGCGTATAAGTATCCACGATATGTACAGAATCTTCACAATATCACTTTTATTTAGCTGATAATAATTGTTAATGCCTAGCAGGACGTTAGGAAATATTTTTTTCATTTTCTCCGTTTATTGCGGATGATTTTATATATAACCCTTGTTCTGAAGGGAAATAATAATGTTATTATGTATAATAAAATATAATATACACTGGAAGCCCGATCAGCGGTCACTCAATCAGCGGTTTTCTGTTTACATAGTTTGTAGGTGAGGCTAGCGAAGGGCAAAGAGGGAGCTGTCGAGTGGCGGCAGCACCGTATATACTGAAGGCGCTCTGTGCCCTTTAATTTTCGTGTATATTGCCGTGTGAAAAATGTCGAAGAAAAGAAAAGAAAACAATTATTTGACTTATGAAGAAAAATGTCAGGTATTTAAAAAAATTAAGTTAGGTGAATCTAAAGAAGATATTATGCGGGTTACATAATATTAGTAGATCTGCTTACAATCGATTGCGTGACAATGGTGAAAAAGTTGTCGAAGAAATTGGAAGCAATTCTGAAATATTGAAAAAAATACTAAAGGTAGTACTGATAAACATTTGGATTCCACTTTAATCACCTGGTTTCAGCAAATTCGTGACAGAGGTGATCCAATTTCTGAACCGATATTAAAAGAGAAAGCTCTTCTTTTAAGCCAGCATCTTAATCCTGCTTCTAATTTTAAAGTAAGTATTTACTTGACATATAAATAAAATAAATAATCTTTTTGATAAAACTATTACTATATAACAAAATTTTAATGAAACAATTTGAACGAGCTGATTGTAAAATTGTTTGTACATATGTCATTAGTGTTTATTTGTTCTGATGTGTTCAATGTTGTATTTTTTAGCCGAATGTACCAAAAAAAGGGTTAAATGTTTTGTTATTTTAAAGAAAGTAACGTAAAATATTATAGGTTATGTTTACCATAGTTTAAGCTTGATTAAAAGTTTATTTTCGTTGTTTGAAAGCAAAATGTTTTTTCATTTCGCGTGGCATCTAATTTATTGACGTTTTTTCCATGCAAGTGATGGTTGGCTTCAGCGTTTCAAGAAGCGATACGGCATAAAAAATGTTGAAATAAAAGGTGAAAAATTGTCCAACGATCCTAAAAACGCTAAAGAATTTTCACTGTTCTTTCAAGAAAAAGTGATCAAAGAAAAATTGTCGTTAGACAATATATATAACGCTGATGAATCAGGGATATATTGGCGATCTTTAGTTTCTAAGACTCTTGCCTTGAGTACAGAAGCAGAAGTTTCAGGACGGAAGGAACACAAAGAGCGCATAACAGCCCTCTTTTGCTCTAACGCGCAAGGAAGTCATCGAATTCCGATATTAGTTGTCGGGAAATCATGTACATCTAGGTGTTTAAAGAACTTAGTTACACCCGCGATGAAAGAAAATCGCCTAAAATATTTTGAAAGTCTTGGAGTGATATACACTCATCAGAACAGTTCCTGGATGGACCGGCAAATATTTATGCTGTGGTACGTATTAAATTAAATTTATACTCAAATATGTGTTTAAATACATTTTTTCCTAAATTAATGTGATAAATTTTTAATAATAATATGTACAATTTTCAGGTATAAGCAGATATTTATCCCGTTTGTAAAGGAACACCAAAAACAAACAGGTGTGGCGGGAATCGTCACTTTGATTTTAGACAATGCTCCATCGCATCCGAGTGAAAAGGAGCTGAATGCCGTGGATAAAATTTTCAACGTTCAATTTTTGCCGCCAAATGTAACGGCGTTAATACAACCCTTAGATCAGGGCTTAATATCGCTTACAAAAAAACATTACAAAAAAAATTTACTGCAACGTGCATTATTTTTTTCCACAGGCACAGAGAGATATTTAAAAAATTTAAATTTGGATGATTGTTTTATTCTCCTCAGGAAAGCGTGGGAAATTTTAGATGAGTCTAGACTACACAAAGTTTGGAGATCAATTTTAGGTGATTCGTTCATTAACGATCAAAATCGTTCTACTGCCTCCAATAATAAAGGCTTAGAGTCTTCAACAACTCCTGTTAACGAGGAATTGTCAAATCAGCAAGAGTTTAGCGATCAGAATCACTTCAATGACAACGGTTTGCAGGCTTCAGCAACTCCTCTGGAGAAGGAATCATTGAATTTTCCCGAAGGCTTTGGAGAACGAATTGTTAATATCTTCACAAATTCGTATTTCTCAATACACGAGTCAAGAAAACATCTTTTACAATGGTTACATGAAGACGAAAAAGATGATTGTGGGTGGGAGCCTATGACGGATGAGATGATAATAAAGTTGGTAACTACTGGAATAGTTGAAACAACTAACATTGCAAACGAAGTAGAAGAGACGAATAAAAGTGAAAATTTGCAAACTAAAATTTCACACTCACAAGCACTTGAAAGTCTCCAACTATTGAAGACTTATATGGAAAGTGAAGATTTTTTGCCACAACATCACGCTTGCCTTGAAGTCATTGAAAAAACAATAGAAAAAAAAATTCGTGAAATTCCGTCAAAAAATTATAACTTTTACAATCCTATATTTTTTACACTGAGAAAAATATTTTCTTATTTTAAAGTTAACAATAATTTTAAAGGATTTTATTTAACTGAATAAATTTATAAGCTTAATTAAAATGCTGTCAATTTTTTTCTCACATTATTTGAGATATAAAATTATGCAATATTAAATTTTAGAACTTTTATTTATTGAAAATACGATAATTTTTTAAAATCCATACGATTGCTTGTTTAGAATCATGACAAAAACCTATAAAAAAATTGCCGATAAAAAATAATAAAAATTGTGGAATAAGTACATAGAAATAAAATAAATATAATAATAATAATAATTTAATTCTATTAATTTTAATAGTATTAAAATAATTATATAATAATAATAATAACTCCATAATTTAGAAAAGCACGTGCATCCAGTGGTATAATATTAAAATAATTTCATCAGGAAATCTTTTCTGTTTGCGAATTATTTTAACATTTTTCTGCCAAAATGTAAAATTTGTAAAAAAGGGAGACATGTATCCTACTGGATATTTGTGCTCCTTAATTTTTAAGTATCTTTAAATTTTAATTCATAATATGTTGAAAATTGTTATTTAACCTGAAGAGGACGACAACGTTGTCGTCGAAACGTCGTAAAGACAAAAACTTTTTATGTGAAATAAAAAAATATATATTAATCCAGAATTTCCTGATGAAATTATTTCCATAATTTAGTTTAAGAAAAACGATTTTTTGACATTTTTCAGAACCTAAAATCATATTTCACTAAAAAAAATTAAGAAATGCATTTTTTAACAGTTTTTTTTTTTTTTAAATTTTATTTAAAATTATTAATGATTTAATTGTTTTTTAATTTCCCACAGTATATTATAGTTTAAAATTATTAATATTGTCAGAAAAAAAATTGATAATCTTGAACAGCATTAATTTCGATAGGTTGAAATTTCACCGGTTCCTCCCCTTAAACTTAACCATGTTTGCCTGTGTAGCAAAGATAAAATAAGTTTTTAATCAAGTATAATACGTTTGATTTAGAAAAATTGGTTTCTAGTGTACTTCATTCAATTTTTTATTTTTTCGAAATATTTAGTGTGAAAAGAATGGTACCCAATCATAAAGTAGTTCGTACGGCCCTGTATGTTTACACTTTCGTGCTTATCTGATCCGCTCTATCAGCGGTAGTGCACCCCCGGAGCTGACCGCTAATCGGGCTTCCAGTGTATAAATATAACAAAAAATTTTTATTATATTTCATTTTTAATAATTAATTTTTTTAATCTTGGCTAAAGTCTGATTTTTTGTATTTTTGAATATTGGTTGAATATTGGGCCAATATTGAAATTAGATCCTTGGCATTGGTCTCTACACTCCCAGACTTGGTCTAATATTGGCTAAAATAACTGGTCCAATATTGTCAAAAGTGCTTTCATTATTGGATTAATATTCAGCCAATTGTGCTTTTTTCACTGGGTACTAAAGTAATTTTTAAAGGAAGAAATAAAAATTTTCTTTACACGAGTTTTCCCCCTTAAATTATTCAATTTTAAAAATTCTACTTTTTAAAAATATTGGTTAAGTACGTCCTATCTTAATACTGATATTAGTTTTTAATAGACTTTTGTCTGTTCTGTAAGTTTTGACCAAAAACATTCGGAAACATAGTAGGTTCATCCTTGTTCGTTAGAATGTTAAATTATTATCTTAAATCAATGTGTCTTATAAATATGTTTTCACACGTACGTGTACAAAGTTCACTGCAGTTTACAGAATTTTTTTTTACAAATTTTTGTTTCGTCGTTGATTTTTAAGAATATCGCTAATATTATTTTCTTTGTTCTTATTTAAAATACGAGTCTCAACTTGCTGGTCCTAATTCTGGCCAAAAGGTGGCGGCCATCTTTCTTTTTTCCCAAGTATACCAGAATTCTTATTTTACTCTGGATAGATGTGTAGTTATTCTGAATTGAGGCAACACACTGGTTGATAAAATCGACTTATTTCCATGCGATATCGTAGATATAATAAACTTTTAGATTTTTTATTGATAACTAAACAGAAAATAAATTTTTTTGATCTATATGGTTTTATTAACCCCTTGAATGTGAGAATACATCTATAGAAGTACATTCTAAAGTGGACTTCCAGTGTGAGGTACGTCTATAGACGTACATACAAAAAAATTGATAAAAGGCACAAAAAACAAGTAGATTTAAATCACACATACGTTATTTATGGTATTTTTGACGCAGAATCCGAATTTAAAGTCAAATTTTGAAAATTCAAAAACTAAAATCCAATATGGCTACTTAAAAGTAGACTTGAAACTTGTTACTCGGGGGTTTTCGGGTCCGCTGAATTCGAATCTGATGTTATCAATTCCTGTGGCATATAAGTTGTGGGTACATACGGATTAGACAAGTATTTACCGACATGTACTTGGTGTGATCTTTTCGACACGTAGTTCAATGATTTGAATTCAGAAAATAAAATATATAAATATTTTATTTATAAATAAATTAGACTTTTGTATAACTTTACTGATTGATCTTTCAAAACCTTTGCAAACTGTTAAATCAAAGCAATTGATAATAAAAATCTGCGCATTATTTAGAAATAGTGTACAGCTTTGGTACAGATTCAAAAAAATACTTAACATATTTTTAATCAAAATATTATCCTGGATTTGAAAAATGTGATCCACTATTGCTCATTATACTAAACATAAGTAATAATTTTCTTAATCTATTTACGATGCTTGATTTAAAAATAAAATTGTATACGATAAATATGTTATATTCATATCGTATAAAAAACAATAAATAAAAATTATTAATGAAAATATGGAAAATTTTTGAAAACAAAATGAACACTTAGAGCCAGTGAATGATAATGGTGAACCAGTGAATGAAATCTCATTATTTTTAAAACATTTACTACTTCAAATAGTTTGAAAATTTAAAAAGATCTACTTATCATTGTCTTTTAAACAAAGATGCTCTCTATAATTTAATTATTGTTTTGATTCTATATCGCAAATTCGGATAAAATTTATTTTATTGTAAAATTATGTTAATATCATTTTTCATAATTGTTATGTTCTTTAATACCTTGTAAGGTATTAAATAATTTATATATAATATGTATGAGGCAAAATTTTTGAAGTGATCCAACTTTAAAATTGAAGGTTTTCGGATCGGGCTGAAATTTGCACAAACTTTAGTACTATGGGTAAGTACTTCACCCACAAATTATTATTATGTTTTATAGAAAACTGTAGAGGGGGAGGGAGTTCAAGTTTTTGGTCAAATGTAAACAGTGAATTTTTTAAAAAATTGTAACTTCTATATAAATGGATGAAAAAAATTTTGACCTATATGTTTTCGAAAGGTTTTTTTGTGCTATTTCGAATGGTCAAAAATTTTTTTTTAATTCAAAATGTACCTCTTTTTTTGAAAATCAAAAATATTTTTGATTTTTTCTTTCAAAAAGGCCCTTTCTTTCTCTTTTTTTAATTCTCAAAATGAAGCTTAAGAAATATACTTTCAATACCAAAAAAATAGAATGACATTTTTTTTTCTTTTCGAGATATTAATTAATTAATTAATTAATGTTTATAACAAATGGAATATTTTACAAACAAATAAAGTTATGGTAATTCTGAACTTACCAATTAAAAGTTAAGGTAATTTCGCATCCAACGAGCCCTATATGAAGTATTTTCGATAAGTAGATTGTTAATAAACAATTGTAATGTTAACTAATTGTTTATTAATAATCTACTTATCCAAAATACTTCACGTAAGGCTCGTTGGATGCGGAATTACGTTAACTTTCAAATGCTGATTTCAGAATTATGGTAACTTTATATGTTTTTAAAATATTCCATTTGTTATAAACATTAATTAATTAATTAATTAATATCTCGAAAACAAAAAAATGTCATTCTATTTTTTTGGTATTGAAAGTATATTTCTTAAGCTTCATTTTGAGGATAAAAAAAAGAGAAAAGAAGTGCCAAATATTTTTGATTTTCAAAAAAAAGAGGTACATTTTGAATTAAAAAAAAAAATTTTCACCATTGGAAATAGCACAAAAAAACCTTTCGAAAACATATACACTACCGTCCGAAATTGTGCGAACTCTGCTTTTTCAACAACTATAAAACTGTTCAAATCTTCAAAAATATTAAAACTAAAATTTTTTCCTCTTTATTTTATTAAAGCTAATAAAAGTCTGAAAGAAATGACACCTTGACAAAGAGAATATGTTAATTTTTCAATTAGATATCTAAGAAAAACCCAATTTTCAACGTTTTTACTATTTTTTTAATTTCTCTGGCAAAAATTAATATTTTCAAACGTTCTTAGGCTCATTGAAATCGTATTTTGTTATGCAATTTAAATTATATAAAACAATTCATGTACACATTCTTCCCTAGCGTAGGCAAACCGTGAAAGTTGGCTCATAAAATGTCAAAAAATTGTGATTAATATTTATATGACAAAAAATGATCAGTAAAATGTATAAATCTTAAATTTACTTACATAAATCAGAGAAGTTAAGAATGATATATTTACTTGATTTTTAAACATTATATTTTATTGTAGAATTAAATTTAAATTTTTTGACATTTTATGAGCCAACTTTCACGGTTTGCATACGCTAGGGAAGAATGTGTACATGAATTGTTTTATATAATTTGAATTGCATAACAAAATACGATTTCAATGAGCCTAAGAACGTTTAAAAATATTAATTTTTGCCAGAGAAATAAAAAAAATAGTAAAAACATTGAAAATTGGGTTTTTCTTAGATATCTAATTGAAAAATTAACATATTCTCTTTGTCAAGGTGTCATTTCTTTCAGAATTTTATTAGCTTTAATAAAATAAAGAGGAAAAAATTTTAG